GCGTCGCTGGCGGAGCTGCACGAGCTCGAGGGGCTCGTGAGGCAGTGCCACGAGGACGTGTCTGCCGCCAGCGCGATCGCGGAGCGCATGGCTGCTGAGCTGCTCGATGGGCAGGACCCGGTGCCCGACCCCACCATCTGGGGCGGCAGACCAGCCTCGTGCGAATGATTGTGCGCATGGAGTGCAGTGCAGCGTGCCGCACTAGCGCACCGAAGTCCACGGCGTAACAGCTTTTGCATTGCTCAGCTCAGCGCGGCACGCAAGCGTGCATGCGCGCGTGCACGCGGACGCACGCGAACGCACGCACGGTCGGCCTTCCTCCCCTCAAGGAGGCCGACAGGCAGCGGTTGCAGGCCGCCCAGGACGCGCACGAGGCATTGCGGCTGGAGGTCGAGGCCATCACGAAGGCCTGCGAGCAGGCCCTGGCGGAACGGGACCGCGCGAAAGAGGCGCTGGTCTCGGTTCAGGACCAGGTGGACGACCTGAGGCTCTGACGAGGAGGAGAAGTGGTAGGAAGACGAGGAGGGTGGTTTTGCTGGGTTGCGCGCGGGGGCGCACAAGTACTCGTGCTTCGTGCTTCGCAGTCCCAGCTGGAGGAGTGCCCTTCTCAAGGGAGAGGCGCCGCGCGGTTTGGGCTCCGCGCGGCGCGAAGCGCCAGGTCAGGTGGCCGAGCAGGCACTGGGTATCAGACGTGTGCAGCGTCTGTTGCCAGATGGGCGCGGTCCCGTTGGCCAGCTACCTTTCGGACGTCGGGGAGATTGCCCGCAGCATGCGGGCCTGACACGTGCACTCTTCTTTTAGGTCGGGCATGTCCTCCTACAGGCGGATTTTGGGCGAACACCAACACATGGTCAAATAACATTCGAACGTAGCGAAAAATAGTCGAAACATCGTCCCCGAACTATTTTGTACTATTTTTGAGTATTCCTCCTGTAGAGAGACGTGCCCGACTTAGGTCTTCTTGGAAAGGTCGAGTGCTTCGGGCTGGCCTCACCGGTCAGGGCGTTGCGCTGGGCGTCGCCAGGTGCGTCCCCGCGGCCTCGGACGCCTCGCCTCGGCCCCGCCGCCGCCCCCTCCCCTGCTCGTGCAGCTCCCGTTTGCCCCTACGTGCACGAGGCGTCGGCCGCCTCGGCCTGGGGCGGAGGGCCGCGAAGCGCACCGTCGAGCGATACGTCCGCTGAGGCCTCCACTCGCCTCAAGTCGGGCACGTCCCTCCACAGGTGGATTAGTCAAGAACAATAATAGTTTGGGCATGATTTTTCGACCATTTTTGGCTATTTTTGGGTTCTCCTTGACCATTTGGTTGATTTTCGCTTAAAATCCGCCTGCAGGAGGACATGCCCGACCTAACACTCCGACTCCTCCGCGCCTGCGCTGCGGCCGCGGCCTCGGGTCGCGGCACTGAGGGTGTGACAGTAGGGGGTGCGCGTCCAGCAGACCCACCGGATTTGGTATTGGGCAGGGCGTCGATCGCGTCGCTGAAGGCGCCATCAGCTGGGTGCGCAGCCGGTTTTCTCCTCCTGCGCGGATCCCAGACCCTCTTGGATGAATTTGGTGGGGCGTCGGGCGGCTCCGTCGCTGAAACGGCCACGCCACCCGCCCGTGTCGGCAAGCACGGGGTGCCGTCCATTTGGTGGTCAAGATCCCCCTCCAGCTCTTCCGTCGTGGCCCGCTCTTCCGTCGTGGCCGAGGGCGGCCCGAGGCCACTGGTGTCGCAAGGGTGCGCGGCGCTTTCCGAACGCGCCCTGCAAGGCAGAACGTGATGACCGCGGGGACGCTACGCGCTCGCCTGGTGGCCATGAGTGAGACCGCACAGTCCGTGTCTGCGGCGCCGCTCGCGCCTCGCAGGCCCAGGGGTGCAACCCGCGCCCCGCCTTCGGGGTCCTCTGGCGCGCCGTGGGGAAGGGTGGCGCGCAAAGGCCTGCGGGCGGCGGCGCAGGCGCGGTGGCGGCGTCGCCCCCAGACTGCGGGATGGCCGCTTTTAGGTTCTTGCAGCGTGCTCGGCGACGCGCGCTCCCTGCCGGCGAGGGCCGCTTTGTGCAGCCCCCAACTGCGCGCGAACCGGATGCCCTCGACAACCCTCGCTTGCCGCGCGCGCGTGGACTACAGCGCCCAATTCAAGAAGGCTCCTCTTCCCTCTGGCTGGGGCAAGCGTGCACCGCTCCCAGGGTGAGCTGGTCGGCGGGCCGGGCGTCCAAGGACCCGTCGGCCTGCAGCTCCTCGCGCGAGGCTGGGCGCCGAAGGGGCCCCCTCCGCGTCGCCTGCCTCGCGCTGTGCCACCCGCGGCCGCACCACTTTCGGCCACTGCCGCACTGTGGCCGCTGCAGCGCACCGGCCGCTGCAGTGCGCGCTGGATGGCCCGCAGCCGCTGGGCGGGCTTTTCTTCTGCTGGGCGCCCAGGGGCCGAGCCGCCGAGCAGCACGGGTGCAGTGCTGCGGAGAGCGGCTGCGAGGGCAGCCGCCAAGCTGTGCACGGTGACGCTGCCCTCCTCCGCGCCGCCTGCACCAGCAGGGCAGGTCCAACCCGCACGCGGGGCGGGCAGGGCTGCCGGTGGCCGCCGTCGCGTCCATCAGCGCGAGGGGGGTCTGCACCGATCCACCGAGGACGACGGAAGGCGACTCCGGCAAGCAGTCGACGCAAGCTAGCCTCGCGGCTTGAGCCCGTGTGCCGATGATGAAAACGATGATGATATGATGATGATGATGATGATGATGATGATGATGATGATGATGATGATGATGATGATGATGATGATGATGATGATGATGATGATGAGTCAAACGGGCTTTTGCGAGCAACTTTTTCGAACTTCTGCGACAACGGTTGCGCACCTGCCAGGGCCATCATCCCTGTCAAATAATACCATGCGGGACACATTCGTTTTTTCTTCGCGCGCACACGCCGTCGTCGTCGGCCGCGGGGCCCTGAATGATGATGGTCATCCGATGCATGTATGTGAAGTGTCCGAACGTATATGATGATGATGAAGCTGGGTGTGGGTGGTGGCGAAGAGTCGTTTGGAAATTTGGTAGAGCTTGAACCGGCCCCCCCACAAAGTGGGGGTATTGCCCGCCTCCTATGAAAACCCTGGCACTGGTGAGAACGGAGTGTCCCCAGTCTTAAATGATTGTTGTTGTTGTTGTTGTTGTTGTTGTTGTTGTTGTTGAACATTATTACTTTTAAAGAATAATTATTGTTGGGGCCCCTGGTGCATGGCCCCCCCGCCGCGCCTAGGCCGCAGCCACATTTTCATCATTTTCGTGAGGAAGTCTCAGGCAAAACGATGTGATCCAGATCCGGTTGTTTTGTTATTTTCCCTTGCAAAAATAAGGCAAAGTGGACATTTCTTGTTCTAACATAACCAAACTTCAAGAATCCCTTGCAAAAAATAAGGTAAAATGGACATTCGCGCGCGCAAGACGAAATCCTTCCAAAACCTTAGTGTTCGTAGCGATTTTAACATAAAACATCAAAAAAACCAATGGTTTTTCAAAAAAAAAATGCCAAAATTTCATCCCGCGCGCTCTTGCGGATTCGTAGGAAACCCAACACTTTTTAAACATTTCTGTCAAACGGGCTTTTGCGAGCAACTTTTTCGAACTTCTGCAACAACGGTTGCGCACCTGCCAGGGCCATCATCCCTGTCAAATAATACCATGCGTGACACATTCGTTTTTTCTTCGCGCGCGCACGCCGTCGTCGTCGGCCGCGGGGCCCTGAATAGTAGCCACGGTCGTCCGCATGCCACGAAGTGAAGTGTCCGAACGTCATAGGGCGGGAAGCTGGGTGTGGGTGGTGGCGAAGAGTCGTTTGGAAATTTGGTAGAGCTTGAACCGCCCCCCCCACAAAGTGGGGGTATTGCCCGCCTCCTATGAAAACCCTGGCACTGGTGAGAACGGTGTGTCCCCACGTGCTGGTAATTGTTGTTGTTGTTGTTGTTGTTGTTGTTGTTGTTGTTGTTGTTGTTGTTGTTGTTATTGTTGTTGAGTTCTCATTTTTGAAGAATAATTATTGTTGATCCCCACCCACCGGTGCGTGCTGTTTTTTCTCAATCAAAGTGTGCCCCTCGACGCTCCCACCCTGTTTTTTGACAGGGAAAGTCTTGATGTGCTCAAACTGGGCCCCTGGCCCGCGGATTACAATTACAACGGCTCCCGCTTGAGATTTCCTTACAATTTAGCCAGGACCCCCGCTCCCGCCCGAGACTTCCTCGCATTTTATTCAGGAATCGCGCTCTCGCTCGGGACTGCCTTGCAATTTATATATTAATCGCTTTCTCGGCGCTCTGGAGTCGCGCTCTCGCTGGAGACTTGCTTGCAATTAACTAAAGAATGCGCCCTGGCGTTGGATTTTTCTGCAATTTGCTCAAGCGCCGCGCTCCCAACACCCAGGCGCCCAGGAGTCGCGCCCGTTGTGGCCCCATGTGTATGCCCTTCGTGGCCCCGCTGTCGCCGTTTGTGGCCCCCTCATTGTCCTTCGTGGCCCGGTTGCTACCCTCAGTGGCCCCATCGTTGCCTTCTGTGGCCCCGCATTATCTGCCCTTCGTGGCCCCCGCTCGTGGGCAAGTAACAACGATCATTTTTACAATGATTGTTTTGTCGTTGTTGTTGTTGTTGTTGTTGTTGTTGTTGTTGTTGTTGTTGTTATTGTTGTTGAACATTATTACTTCTAAAGAATAATTATTGTTGGGACCCCTGGTGCACGGCCCCCTCGCCGCGCCTAGGCCGCAGCCATGTTTTCATCATTTTCGTGAGGAAGTCTCCGGCAAAACGGGTTGGTCCGGATCCGGTTGTTTTGTTACGGGCGGTTTTCCCTTGCAAAAAATAAGGCAAAGTGGACATTTCTTGTTCTAACATAACCAAACTTCAAGAATCCCTTGCAAAAAATAAGGTAAAGTGGACATTCGCGCGCGCAAGACGAAATCCTTCCAAAACCTTAGTGTTCGTAGCGATTTTAACATAAAAACATCAAAAAAACCAATGGTTTTTCAAAAAAAAATGTCAAAATTTCATCCCGCGCGCTCTTGCGGATTCGTAGGAAACCCAACACTTTTTAAACATTTCTGTCAAACGGGCTTTTGCGAGCAACTTTTTCGAACTTCTGCGACAACGGTTGCGCACCTGCCAGGGCCATCATCCCTGTCAAATAATACCATGCGGGACACATTCGTTTTTTCTTCGCGCGCGCACGCCGTCGTCGTCGGCCGCGGGGCCCTGAATAGTAGCCACGGTCGTCCGCATGCCACGAAGTGAAGTGTCCGAACGTCATAGGGCGGGAAGCTGGGTGTGGGTGGTGGCGAAGAGTCGTTTGGAAATTTGGTAGAGCTTGAACCGGCCCCCCCACAAAGTGGGGGTATTGCCCGCCTCCTATGAAAACCCTGGCACTGGTGAGAACGGAGTGTCCCCACGTGCTAGTAATTGTTGTTGTTGTTGTTGTTGTTGTTGAACATTATTTCTTCTAAAGAATAATTATTGTTGGGACCCCTGGTGCATGGCCCCCCCGCCGCGCCTAGGCCGCAGCCACATTTTCATCATTTTCGTGAGGAAGCCTCAGGCAAAACGATGTGTACCAGATCCGGTTGTTTTGTCCCCCCCCGCTTTCCCTTGCAAAAAATAAGCTAAAGTGACATTTCTTGTTCTAATATAACCAAACTTCAAGAATCCCTTGCAAAAAATAAGGTAAAGTGGACATTCGCGCGCGCAAGACGAAATCCTTCCAAAACCTTAGTGTTCGTAGCGATTTTAACATAAAAACATCAAAAACCAATGGTTTTTCAAAAAAAAATGTCAACATTTCATCCCGCGCGCTCTTGCGGATTCGTAGGAAACCCAACACTTTTTAATCATTTCTGTCAAACGGGCTTTTGCGAGCAACTTTTTCGAACTTCTGCAACAACGGTTGCGCACCTGCCAGGGCCATCATCCCTGTCAAATAATACCATGCGGGACACATTCGTTTTTTCTTCGCGCGCGCACGCCGTCGTCGTCGGCCGCGGGGCCCTGAATAGTAGCCACGGTCGTCCGCATGCCACGAAGTGAAGTGTCCGAACGTCATAGGGCGGGAAGCTGGGTGTGGGTGGTGGCGAAGAGTCGTTTGGAAATTTGGTAGAGCTTGAACCGGCCCCCCCACAAAGTGGGGGTATTGCCCGCCTCCTATGAAAACCCTGGCACTGGTGAGAACGGTGTGTCCCCACGTGCTAGTAATTGTTGTTGTTGTTGTTGTTGTTGTTGTTGTTGTTGTTGTTGCTGTTGTTCTTTTCTCCTGTCTTCGCATAGCGGTAGGAGTGGGTGCTGCAAGAAGGGGTGCGAATACGGTCGGACCGAGGAGGAGGGGCAGAAGGAATCGGAGGAGGGACCGGTACCCATACCGCTACCCCTGCTTCGTTTTCCCCTCTTTGGGCCTCCTGGGGGGGCCTCGTCGCCACCGCTGGATTCGCAACGAAATACTGGTCAGAACGCACCCCGGAAGAGGTCCGGGGAGTAGCGGTACGGTCGGACCGAGGTATAAGATCGAGGTCGGTTCGGGGAGGGTGCCCTCATGTTTTCTTCGTGTTTGTGGGATGTTCTTGCGCATCTTGGGGGAGGTTGCCCTCGAAAGTTCTTCAGTTTGGCTGGCGGAGGGTCTCATGTTTTCGGATGCAATTCCTGGGAGATCAAATTCTGACTTTGCCGTGGTCCGAAGTCCCGGCTTTGTCCCGCTTAATCTGGCTTGATCCCGCTTAATCCGGCTAGCTCCGAGGCCCACTCCAGCGTAACAGCCCCCCAATGGCCCCAATGGGGCTTAATCCTCTTTTATCCTTCCGACGAAAACCTCCCAGCAGTTGCCTCCTAACATGTTCTTGGGGGATGCTCTTCTGTCCCTGGTCCAGCCTAGCGGAAGGAACGAGCGCCAAAACCGACAGCAGTGCCCGCTCGTGCTGGCCAGGGTTCGATGCCGGCGTCGCCGCGGGCGTTTGTCCATTCGAGACAGGAGCCGCGTGCTCACCGGCGGTCGCTGTCAGTTTGGGGCAACATTCAGGGGGGGGGGAAAACACAGACACAATTAAGCGTCGATTCCCCAGAAAATATAGGAAACTATGGGAATTGGGGGGGAAGAAACCAACACAGAAAATATAGGGAAATATGGGGAATCTTGTTATTTGTGTATATTTATTTGCGTGTCCCAGGGCCCCTTCAATTTTGTTAGGCATCGTGCGCATTTTTCATGAGCCTTCTCAGAAGCCCCTTGGGCTGAGAGGGTCCGTGCCATCCAGAGGAACCCCCCCGCCCTACTAGAAGGCCCACCCCCCTCGCGCGACCCCCTCGCGCGCGCTCCCTTCTCTGCTCTCGTCCTGTCCTGCTCCTGCATCTGACTTCGTTGCCCTTGCTTCGCTTTGCTTTTCAAGCCAATCTCGGTCCCCGCTGTCGCGCTGCAGCTTGGGCGTCGGGGAGCCGAGCCTGGACGCTTGCCAGCGTCCAGGCGTGCTCCTGCATCCTGCGCCTGCTGCTTCCGCTCCCGCTGCTGCTCCTTGCTGCCCTCTGCTCTTCCTGCTTGCTGCTTCTTGGGTGGCGACCGGGGTGCATCGGTCCGTCTCTGAAGGAATTGCGTTCCGGAGCTTCGTACGTTGCTTCTTTGTTTGCTCCGTCGAGTCCCCATGTACTCACAACAGTGCCGCTTCCCATCTTCAGAGACGTGCTTAGCTTGCCCCTGCCGACAGGGTAACGGGCTCACACCAGTTCCAGCTGCTCTTCGCCGGTAGCTGGGGGATGGGCAGCATGCTGTGCGATGAATCAAGCGTCATAAGTGCACCGTCCAAGTGAACAACAGGAACAGGTTTCTGGTCAGAGTACCTTGTGGTGTTCTGCGAGGGCTCGCTCCGCACACCTCCATATCGAACAGTGATGTGCTCGCAAGCTGTTTTTGCTGCAGTGGAGTTGAATGTTTGCTATTGAACCTTTCGACAGGGGGCGATGACCGCGTGTCGTTCGAGCCGTGCTCATATCAAGGACTTCGGAGCATGCCTTATTTGCGTTGTGCATGCGTGTGCACGTGGTTACTTCTTGCTCGCAGTGGCCATGGCAGTCGGCCGCTGTTCAAATCAGTACACTCAGGAGGGAAAAAACACACACACACAGACACAATTACTCGTCGACTCGCCAGAAAATATGGGAAAATATGGGAAGTGGGTGGGAAGACCAAAACAAACCCAGAGCATATGGGGAAGTATGGGGAATCAGATTGTTTGTGTGTATTCATTTGTGTCCCAGGGCCCCTTCAAACACGGAATGCCCCTGCATGGGATGCCACGCGGTTGCCGTCCCCGCGCAGGGAGCGTCTTGCGGCCGATCCTTGTGATCCTGGAGCGTCCTGCTGCGGCTCCTCCCGCGCATGGCCTGCGCTGCTGCATCCCCGCCTGCTCACGACACGTCCTGCTGCCGTGCCTTCGGATGCAACTCCTGGGTGGTCAAGTTCTGTTTTCGCCCTGGTCCGAAATCCGGCTTGATCCAGCTCAATCCCGCTTCATCCGGCTTACTCCCGCTGAATCCCGCTTAATCCCGCCTAGTCCTGCTGAGTCCGAGGCCCACTCCGGCGTAACAGCTCCCAAACGGGGCTGAATCCTTTGTAACTTTTCCGACGAGAGCCTCCCAGTAGTTGCCTCCTAACCCCCCGGCCCACGGACCGCCCACTTGTCCTCTTCTGACAACACCCTGGGTCGTTGTCAGCCGGCTTCGAGTGACGCTCTCACCGGGTCTCCCTCTCCCCCGCTGTGCAAGGAGTCCGGCGCCCACGCTGATGGGCTACATGTTCTGAGCGTGCTCCTTCCCTCTACCCGCGCGCTCCCCCCCCCCCTCCGCTGCCCACCGTGCCCATGTCGGCTGCGCGCGCCCCGCGTCTGCCCCACGGGACGCGGCTGGGCTTCCCGCCGCTGCGACTCCGCCCTCGGCGCCAGGCACGACGCCGCCCTCGGCGCCCTGCCCCAGCGCTGCTCCCGGTGCCGCCCCCGACGAGGGTGCCCCGACGCCGCTCCGAACTCCTGGGCCGACGCTCGCGCGCCGCCGCTTTGCCTCGCAACGCCGCCGCCGTGCGCGGCAGCCGACGCCGTGCCGGTCGCTGCCTCCCCGACGCCTCCCTCGGAGGGCGGGCCGTCCGGCGGCCGGAGCCGCGGCAGCTCTTTCGCTCGGCCGGGCCGCCCGACGCGGCCCCTCGGGGCGGGGCCCGTTCCCCCCGCCCCTTGGCTTCCAGTGTCTCCCAGACTCTTCAGTGGGCTCCCTCCTCTCCTCCGCCTGCAGCTCGGGCTCGCGCGCAGGAGCGAGCCGCGGGGGACCATGGGCGCCTCGGGTGGAAGCAGGGGACCCACCGCCCGATGCAGTTGTCGAAGAACGCTGTGGAGACTCAGTGCGACTGGCCGCCCGATGCGGCCGTCGAGCTTGGCGATCCCTGGCCGCCCGCCCCCCCTGAGTCAGCGCGCCCTCCGTGCATTTTTCCCATATCTGCCCCTCAGCAGATGGGCGCCGCCCCAGCGCCACACCCCGGCGCGCTGACGGGGCTCCCGCGGGCTGGGTTCCCCACGCCCCCCGACCTCCCACTCGCTCGGACGTGTGCATTTTTCTTCGGCGAGGACCATCGAGAAGCATCTGGGATCCTCGCGCGAAGAACGCGCGGAATCAAAACATGCACGGGGAATGGATGTCCGAGCGATGGCGAGCTCGACCTTCGTTCGACACGAGTTCTTTCCTTTCTGGTCGCGACGGGTCTTCCGACACCCCCCTATCCGACGCCCGAGCCCGGCTCCATTTGCTATCCTGGTGCCAGAACGCGTGAGATTTTGAGGGCACTGGAATTTGACGTGTTCAGCTACATATCGGGAGCAGCACGACGTGGAAGCAGGTGCAGTATGCGCGCCTTGGGCCTTGAAGAGCTGTCGAGCGGGTCGCGCAGGAGGGAGTCCCGTCCCCAGACCCGTTGAGGTGGGTCCGCCCCCTCCTTCTCCCCCGTGTCTCTGTGTTGTGCCCCCTTTCCTCCTCCCTTGCCCCCCTCTTCGGCTGGTTCAATCCCTTTTTCGTGTCTTTCCTTTTCCTTGTGGTGTGTGGTGCCTTCTCTCTTCCCCTCGGCTCTGGCTCCCCCTCTTCGTTCGGATGGCTCGTTGTCCCTCGCGTCCGTCCGTCTGCCTGCCTCGGCTGTTTGCCGTCGCTCCTCGCTCCTCGCTTCCCTCTCCGCTGTGCCTGGCCCCCCTTGGCCCTTGTCTTGCTGGCCCCCGTGCCGTCGAAACACGGAGCAGAAATGCTCTGCTTCTGGCCCGTGCTGCCCGTGCTGCACCGCGGGATCGCTGCCTTTCCTTGCAGGCGCTCGCGCCGGCGGTGGCATTCGGTGTGTGTGTGTGTGTGTGTGTGTGTGTGTGTGTGTGCGTTGGCACCCGTGGGCCGTAGCAGCTCGCCCGCTCCCGCCTTGCGGGGCGCCCTGGCTGCCCCGGCGCCAGCCCCCGCTCGCCCGCCCCCGGGCGGCCGCCCCCATTGTTATATATGTATATATATATACACATATAATTTGCTTAAAGATAATAAACTATTATTTTTGCTTTATTTTTTACCTTTATATTTATTTTTTCCGCGGCCCGCTGTCCGTCCTGCGGTCCCTATCTCTCGCTGCCTGCCGAGGCGCCCCCCGTCCGCCCTGTCTCACCCGGCCGCTCGGCCCACCCCGCCGCGCGACCGGCCGGGACACCCTCTCGGGGCGGATCGCTCCAGCCTCGGGCCACGGCGCAATGCCTCACCCCGGCGCGTCCCCTTTGCCCTCCCACTTCTGTCTGGCCGCCCAGGGGCGCTCCTAGGGGGCCTCATGCGAACCCTACCCCTACCCCCCACGATTTCTGGGGGAGAGGGTGGGGTTCACTTCGCTCGGGAGCTCCCGAACGAAGTGAACCCCACCCTCCCCCTCAGAAATCGTGGGGGGTAGGGCCTGGGGTAGGGTTCGCCTGTGGCCCCCTGGCTCCTTCGCCTCGCCGCTGTGCTCGCGCGGCTGGTCCTCCTGCTGTCGCTCCTCCCTCCGGCGCCCAGCCTCCCGCCGGCCGCCGCCGGCGCCGGCCCGCTGGCGCTCGCCCCGGCCTCGCGGCCCTCGGCCCCTCCGCCCAGGCCTGCTTCGCTGGGCCTGCTCCCGGCCGCCCCCGAGTCGAGGGCCGCTCCGGCCCGGGCGGCGTGCTTGTCCTCTCCGCCCGGGCCGCCCCCCCCCGCGCGCCGGCCTGGCGTCCGCGGCCGCCCCCCTGCTGCTGCTGGCCAGCAGCCGGCTGCCGCAGGCGTCCGTAGTTTTTGCGCTGTTTTTCGTTTTGCGGCCGGGTCGGGCGAAGGCAGTCGCCGGCTGGGACCGTTCTTTCCCACTGTGCCTCTCCCTGGTGCCCCGGGCTGCTAAGCCCACGAGGCGCCACGGGCCACCCAGCGCTCAGGCAGAGCCGCAACCCGCGGGCGCGCGTTGCGGCCCCTGCGCCCACCTGTTGCAGTCTAGGTGCAGGATTCTCGGCACTCTCCTTTCCCTGGCTCGCCAGGCTTTTCCTTGCGCGTTGCACGCTGTTTTTCTCACATGTGAGCGTAGGCCACCTGTCTGCAATGTCAGGTGGAATTGGCGCTAAGCATGCCCCGTTTGAACTCGCTGCTTCAGTGGCATCCCTCGGCCGCTGGATGAACAATAGTCCGTGTGTGTGTGTGTGGCGCTTACGGGTGCATCTTCTTGACATCGCATACGTTCACATCTAAGCGTGCGTACGGGTATTCATTCACCTACGCATGTAGAGCCACCTGCCTGCGGCAAGCCTGGCCACCGCGCCATCGCAGCAATGCAGCGTGAAGGAGGTCTCGATGGTCTTTCAGGAGCCCTTGTATGTCCGTTTGGCAGGCCTTTGGTGGTCTGTTGGGGGACCCGTGGGAGGCCTATTGGGTGTCTCTTGGGCCTCTCAGCGCTGTCAGGGCCAGTTCGATTCCCCCCTTTGGGCCCCTCTTAAGGCCTGTTGTAGACCTCTTGGGCCGTCTTGGGGCATCTCGGGGCGTCTTGGGGCCCCAATGGACCGTCTTGAGGACCTCATGGGCCGTCTTGGTGCGCCCCTGGGCCGTTTTGGGGCCCTCTTGCGACCCAGTTGGACTGTTTTGGGACCCTCTTGGGTACGTTTTGGGCCGCCCTGGGCTCTTGGAAGCCAGGGCGGGCCAGTATGCTACAACTTGTCAAGACCAGATGGAGAAGCAGTGCTTCTTGCTCTTGAGGGCCTCTTGGGCGGCCTCTTGGAGCTCTGTTGGAGCTCTCTTGGGCCGTCTTGGGGGCCTGTGGGGCCGTCTCGAGCCCATCATGGGCCTCTTGGAGTGTCTGGAGGCCTTTTTGGGCAGTCTTGGGACCGCCATGGAGGCCTTTTGACCGTCTTGGGGCGAGCTCGGTTGTCCTGTTTTGTTGTTGTTGTTGTTGTTGTTGTTGTTGTTGTTGTTGTTGTTGTTGTTGTTGTTGTTGTTGTTGTTGTTGTTATTGTTGTTGAACTTTCATTTCTGAAGAATAATTTTTGTTGATCCCCCCTGTCCGGTGCCCATTGCTTTTTTTTCAATTGAAGTGCTTCCTCCGGGGCTCGCACCCTGTTTTTTGACAGGGAAAGCCTTGCGGATCAGATTGCGTTGTTGGGCCCCGGACTACAACAACAACGGCTCCCGCTTGAGACTTCCTCACAATTTACTCAGGACCCCCGCTCCCGCCTGAGACTTCCTCAAAATTTACTCCGGAAGGGCGCT